TATAAAACCCCAAAACTTCCATAACTCCCCCAATATATCATGTCTACGACCCCCATTGTAATATGCGAGCATCGATTCATACATTAAAAATCGTCAACTTCTTGCAAAATTCATCCAAAATCACAGGGAAATTGCAAAATGTCGATGATTCCAAGATTTTTCAGCTGTCGATCAAATGTTTACGACCCCATTTTCCCTAGAAGCCTAGTACCATTTGAAGGCTTGCCACTAAGCATAGGTTTTTTTTGGCTACTCTCAACTCTCAAGTAATTTATGGTCCAACTTCCCATCGTCTTCAAATTCCGAAGTCGCATTATTTGCCCATGCTATGATTGAATGGAAAGAGACCCCCAATGCTCATGTTTTTAAAAAAAAAAAAAGATGTTAGTGTCTAAGCAATGTCACTTATTTACATCAGTTTTTAAATTAAAAAAAAAAGTCTCACTTCAATTTTTGCTACTTTTTCTGAATTTCTATTACTTTTTCAACGTTTATTACTTTTTTTTTCCTTGTCACTTTTTTAAGTAACAAACATAGTGTTGTACACTCAACTAAAAAAGTGACATTTTATATATATAAAAAAAGAGGCATTGGGTCGCTTAATTATACATAACACTCTTCACTTTTAAATAAAAGAGACTTGACTTAAAAAAGTGACACCTAGTATTTTCTTTTAAAAAGTGCCATTATGTCACTTTTAATTAAAAAATGGCATTTAATTTCACACAGTATTTTTTACTTTCAAAATATTTTTCATATAAATTTTCAAAAAATTCTTAATTTGAGAGATATTTTTGTAAGTTGTCCGTTACAGTTTGAATTTTCTTTTGGATAATTATATTGCCACCACAATTTTTAATTGATACACAACATTTTAATTACAATTAAGCTCCGTAATCTTTCATCGTTGTAACAATTATTTTCTTAACTTTTTTTCGTCCAATTCTTATTTCAACCTTCCATTAATTCGTACTTCTCGTGCTTAATGATAATTTATATTTAAATATTTTATTTTCATACTTTTAAATGAGGCAAAAATATTTTTTCGCACTTTTTATTTATTTACTTTCTAAAACAATGATGAAAATAAGTTATTTTACATTATTTTTTTTGACATAAAACTATTATCAAATATAAAATGTGTTAACTAATGAAAAGTTTGACGGTAAAAATAACATGAAAAATCGTTAGAGACATAAGTACAATAATGAGTAAAGATTAAGAACTTTAAGTACAATTAAAATGTGGTACAAGAAATAAAAATTGTTTTGTGAATATAATTAAAGGAAATTACAGTTAGAATGAGTTTTAAATTTCCATTTTCATAAA